TATACCAGGAAACAATTCAGCCCCTCGGCGACCTGAGATATCTGCTCGAGAACTACCGCACTGGTGGATTCGTGCCTAAGATCCAAGCATATGAGAACTACTATGGTTCCGTTGAAGGTACAACCATGGTCATTGCCCAGTCATGAAACGTTGCTAATTTTAATTTCCATTAGAACAAAACTTTGGTGTCGACCTTGAAGCTAGAGCTCGTGCCGACCGCAAACGTGTTCCGATCCTGGTCACCACCATTCTGACCTACCTAGATAACCGTAAGAAACTCGTGGATACGTTCAAATTCATGAACCAAGGCTCACAAATTCTACAGGCTACCCTGAACTTGAAGGCGACGAAACACGGCGAATGATCTGGCTGACCGATGTTGATCTCAGCACGACACATAAGCTTCGTCAAGTCTTGAACAACAGCAAGGCCGATTATGCCGAGGTGTTGCCTCAGTTTGAAATCCCAGTTATTGCAAGCGTTCTAAGATTGTACCTTCTTGAATTGCCAGGTTCGTCGCTCTCTCGGTGGCTTGATCTAGGTTCATACTAATCCCCAGATAGACTCATTGGTTTCTTCACAAGTTTACGAGATCGTGAAGACGATTTATTCCACCACCGCTCATGAGACCACGGAAGAAGGACGGATCAAGGTTCTGCAAAGCACCCTTGGACAACTCCGCCTCGTCAATATCGCTACGCTTGATGCCATTATGACTCACTTCACGCGCCTGATTGATTTGACCTCGGCCGACGAAGACTACGTCACTTCGTTGGCACAGGCCTTTTCCCCTTGTATTCTTCGCCCCCGCATTGAGAGCAGTCTGACAATGAATGAGCGCCACAGCTACCGCTTGATCCGCGATCTGTTTGCCCACAAGGACAACATCTTCGGCGAACTGAAGCGCCAGTCGAGTGCGCTCGGAATTACCAGCTCCAGCTCCAACCGTCCACGCGCCATCAGCACGGACGAGAGTAACCGTCGTGCGGCGATGGAGGCCCGCCAGCGAGCTATTGTCAATCGCAGCCGGGCACCCAGTCCCGCCAATCGCCAACGGCATCGACGTGACCGCTCGAGCGGTGCTTCAGAGATAGGCCGGTTCCCGATCAACGTCAACAGCCCTTCCGACCGCAAATCCACCCGCGGTAGCCTAGATGTACCAGCCAACAAGGCTCCCCAGCCTGAAGCTGAGGATGCTCCGGTCGTGAACACCCAAGTTGCCGAGACTGTCACCAACGGCACGTATACCGAGTCTCCTTCCTCGGCTGCTGCCAGCACCAGCGCCCACTCGAGCTCCCCCAGCCCCCCTCCTGTTTCTCTTCCCGAAACAGCCTCCGATGACTCTCCAACTCCAACTCCTACTCCAGCTGCAGCATCTGCCGAGTTCGAGAAGCGCAATTCTATGTCCCGCTCTTCTGGCGCTCGATCTAGCCGCAAGCCAGGCCTTGGTAGCTTGTCCAGCTTCCCTACTGACTCGGCTGCCAGGACCAGTGGCACGGACAGCAACCGAAGCAGCATCGCTGAAAGTGAGCCCAACAGAGTCACTCTGGAGGACAAGCCTATGGATGATTAGGTTTGTGGATTTGTGGATGCAGAGGAAACCTTGTATAGATCGAACTAGGAGCAGTGTATCGGCGTGCTGGGGGAAATATGCCCTATGGCAATACATTCCACTCACGCCTTCGTTGCTCTCTGATCCTGGCGAAGACGACCTGGCGAGTTGCAATTTGGAACGTCACCTTTACTTTTTCTTGTCTTTTGTTTCTCCTTTTGAACTCGAACTTTTTACTGCATGCCTCTTAGGCATGCATGCATACATACCCTGTCCCTTCTGCTGTGCTACTTCAGAAGGGGTTGTTCACATGCCTTTTACCTTGCCTCTGTTACTGTTACTGTGTTTTCCCTCTTATGTTCCCTGATGCATTCCCTTTGTTGCCCTCGTGGTGTTATCCACTTGGTGTATGTATACTCTTGATCCTTTCTCGTGCATATGAATTTCTTTCTGTCCTATGTGTCCTATGTATAGGATTATTCTCTGATGGTGTAGTACTGTAGAATATACGTGGAATTCAATAGCCAATAACAGTTTTTGATTCTTTTTTATGTCTGAAATTACTTTCTCCACCAAGCTCTGGATTCGGGACAAGAACCACCGACAAGTTTTAGCTCCCATGACTCAAGGGACCTAACATCCTCCCCGAAAATATCAGACACCAAGAGTACTTCGTACGAATAACCAACCCCGCATCCCCATCTTCCAATCTACAACTCAACTAAACCCCACACCAGCCAAAAACACAACACCCAACTACATAACCCAAAGCCATGACACCAACCCAAATCCCAATTGTGGATTCCCACATCCACCTCTTCCCAGCAACACACCTAAAAACCCTATCCTGGTACAACGACAACAACCCCCTAGCCACCCAACACAGCGTAAACGAATACCGCCACGCAACAACACAATCCAGCACCACCCCATTCCTCCGGGGCTTCATATTCCTCGAAACAGACCGCCTCTCCTCAATAACCGACTCAACCCCACCAAACCACGGCTGGGAACATGTCTTAGACGAAGTCTCCCTCCTAACACGCATAGCCCTCGGTACACCAATCCCAGGCGAGGGCCACGTCCCCCAAGACAAGTCCCTCTGTCTGGGGATTGTGCCTTGGGCGCCTGTTCCCGGTGGACCGGATGTGTTGAGCGCGTATATGGAGCAGGTCCGTCGTCGCACTGGGGAGGTGGTTTGGGGGAAGGTTAGGGGGGTTAGGTATTTGGTGCAGGATAAGGTTGCCGGGACGATGCTTGGGGATGGGTTTGTGGGGGGGTTGAGGTGGTTGGGGAGGGAGGGGTTTGTTTTTGATCTTGGGGTTGATGCGAGGTCTGGTGGGTTGGGACAGTTGAAGGAGGCGGTTGAGATGATGGGGTTGGTTTATAGGGAGTTGGAGGGGGAGCGGGCGGTTACGATTGTTATTAGTAGGTCTTTTTTTCTTTTCTTGTGGTGAGATTTCAGGATTCGGGTTCTTCTTGCTAACTATTGATTATAGACCATTTGTGCAAGCCTAACCTTCGTTTGGTAGACGATATTCACTCTCATCCTGAGTTCCTTGAGTGGAAGGATCTTGTCACTAAGATGGCGAGGGTGGATCCTAGGACTTATATGAAGCTTTCTGGGGCGTTTTCGGAGCTTCTGCCGCTAGAGGCGGAGTCGGAACCGGATTTTGGTGCCATTGTTGAGCGCGTGCAGCCATGGACTGATGTTGTTTTTGATGCTTTCGGGCCGGATCGTGTTATGTTTGGATCGGACTGGCCGGTGTGCAATGTTGGTGGTGGTGGGAATGATGTGTCTTGGGGTAGATGGAGACGTGTGGTGGAGGAGATTCTGCAACAGAGGGGACTGTCTGAGGAACAAAAGAGGGATGTATGGGGATCTGTTGCTTTGCGTGCTTATGGTATAGAGATCTAGAGATTTGATTACCTTAAGCATAGAAATGCAAAGTCCCTTGAGCTTGAAATATGTATATTCATGAAAGTCGACTTGACAAAAACTATATATATCCTCATTGCAGGTTAACAAACAACCCACCATCAACCAGTAGTTGCGCACCAGTCACATAACTACTCAATTCCTCACAAGCCAAGAAAACAGCCGGCCCAGCCAAATCCCGCGGTTGACCGAGTCTGCCCAGCGGAATCCGACCCTCCATATAACTCCGCTTAACAGGATCCTTCATATCCTCCTCATTAAGCTGCGTCCGGATAGTCCCCGGCAGCAGCGCATTACACCGAATACCATATTTACCGAGCGCGCACGCACACGACTGCATGAGACTCAATACACCGGCTTTGGTGGGTGTGTAATGTGTCTGCTGGGCACCGCCGACCAGAGCGGAGATGGAGCTGACGCCGATGATGGATCCGCCCGATGGCGATTGGGTCAGTGCCATTTGGCGGGCTGCGGCTTGGGTGGCATAGAATGCGCCTGAGAGGTTTGTTGACACTGTGTGGTTTAAGAGGGAGGGCTCGAGCCTGGTGGGGGTTGTTAGAGAGGAGAAGAGGGGGGTGGAATTGGAAATGATAAATTCTTTGGGTATGGCTCACTCTAGGAATTCGGCGAATTGACACACGCCTGCGTTGCTCACGAATACATCTAGTCGACCAAATGCTTCGACAGTCTTTGCGACGAAGTTCTGACCTGTCTCCGGCTGTGAAATGTCGCCCGATACCGTGAGGAATCGTGTCTTGGCTGCTTCGGGTTCGATCTCGTTCACGTCTTTGCGTAGTGCTTCTAGTAGTGTATCCTCCTTTTCGCCGCCGAGGTGACTGATGGAGACTTTGGCTCCATGTCGGATGTAATCAAGGGCAATTGCCTGTAACATGTTAGTTTTTTTTTTTTCTTTCTCTCTGAATGCATTTGAATTCGGAGATGAGAAACCATACCCGTCCGATGCCTGTGAGGCCACCGGTGATGGCAGCGACTTTACCAACTAATAACTGCGGGAAAGCCATTGGGGATGTTGAAAATGGAGAGGTGTCGTTCGTAATTGTCATAATTCCTATAATTCTCATAATTCTCACCTGGGGCCAAAAGGTGGGATGAATTTCTTGAGCTCGGTGGTTCGTGGTGATGTTACCCCGAGTTTTGTGGGGAAACCCCCACATTCTCCGGCAAATTGGATGAATTGGGTACCTAGTTACCTACCTACCTACCTACCTACCTAGGTAGGTAACTAGGTAAGTACATATTTACTATTTTGATATTCCTGTTATCCCGCGCTTTTCAAAGACATCTTGACGTTAAATTGAGATCTTCACCAACAGATCTCTCCATGCAGATCATCCACTCTATATATTCGTCTACAGTGCAGATATAAAAGTGTCTCTAAATATTATTCTTGGTTTCAACGCGCTAGCATATTCATGTAGCCTTGAATTTATCCATTTTTTCCCTCATCATTGCTCACCGGAGCTTTCCCTTTACCACCTATTTAAAGAATCAGTAACTCGAGTTCGTGAGAGTGTTTGATGGTGCCTCACTGCTCTGATATAACACTGCAGCAAGAAGAACAGCAATTGCCGAGGCCTATGAAAGGTTAGAAGTCAGAACCCCTATCGACGTTATAGACTCTCTGGACAGAAATCAGGTCATCTTACTAGTGAAAGGTCCATCCCTTCTGCCACCACCACTTCCCACGACGGTCGTTTTACGGGTAGATACACCGCAGCAATATCCGTCAATTTTACGATCGCCACCAAATTACCCCGGTGATAAACATTTGTCTTGGACTTCCAGACATTCTGTCCGCGAACCTCCAGTATCGTCTCTTCTCCGTTTGCAGCAGCATTACGAAGATGAACATCAAACTTGTCTTTGAGAGCACTCCATTTCGGTACAACCGTAGCAATAGGCTCAGAAGCGGTTCCTTTACTGCTGCTCTCTCCGGGAAGATGAAGGTACCATGTTACCCCCGCCTTTTTCCGAGATATGTCAAACAGGGGAAGACCTGAAGCGTCGCGAAAATGTCGTCGCTGAGACCATGACGCGATTTCACCATCGACGCTAAAGAGTTTTTTTAAAAGAGGTTCTTCGGCAGTTGGAGTGCTTGAAATTGTGAAGTTGCCACTGGACCAGCTCACACTATGTTGTTTCACCTGAATTGTTGTGGTTGATGAAGCAACATGTTCCGGAAGGACGGCGATGGGTTGTTTGGTTCGTGTGAGTGATTCCATTTCGTTATAGTGGGAGACGGGGTTAAATTCAAAATCAGGGTATTGAGAAGGTCAGAAGGGGAAGAAAAGGAGCCGGAGTTGGGCGTTGATGGATTAGGATCTGGAATAAATACAAAGGTTGGTAGCGGTAGGGATCTGCTCTAAAACTAGTGGCAGTTTATAGAAATATCAATTTACATATGACGTTGTCCAAGGCTTTAGGGCAGAGTTCGTCTGTAAGGATTTGGGGGCGTCTTCTCTTCTTGGTAAGGATACGCCTTTTTTCGATATTGCCAATAAATTGACACAGAAACTAGGGACCTAGCGGTAAAACCTGGCCAAGCAAGACCTTCTCAGTGGTTTGTGGGCAATACCACTTGGTGCCAATGCATTAGTGGGGGATAAATCGTGGACCTTCATTTGGTGGATTTGGTGGGATGTACTGGCCCACACGTTGGCCCCCAGTTATTTAGTCTCGGGGCGGCTCAGGTGGATCAGCCAATTTTTAGTTTTTGTGACTTCTCTTCTGAATCGATGGATTCTTTGTGGAATTGCCTTAGAAGACGACAGATTCCGAGAACAGGTCTGAGATATCCGACGATGTAATCTATAGGAATCCGGAGAAAATGCAGACTATGGCTCGTTGGAGATGTACACAGCCATATGTTGACCAGGACCCCCACTTCACATACTATGTATGAGCAGATATATATTTATAAATCCAGCGGATCTCACCGTTAAGTTTGTCTATCGGATCATCTTCGAACACCTTGTAGAACCAGACTGGACTAGTTACCCTGGTTTGGTTATATAACCCATGAATCTACCATTAACGTTGTTATCGCCTTGGTGAATATCATCTGCCTATGCTAGATGCCTATACTAGATTACCATATAATCGGAATTACTATTTAATGATAATTGACATGAGAAGGGCCATGAGATGGTATTTAAAGGATAGTGAAATCCGATGTGTAGGTATGTACATGATTCTCGTATAGCGCGTAAATATCTGATAAACATGAAATAGATCAAGGACATAAAAATATAAAAGAATTCCGCCAAATAGTCGACATCTACGCAGAGCCATTGGTTGCCTCCTCGTTGTCAGGTGCACGTAGGGACTTCTGGGGTGCCGGTGTAAGGATAGCAGCAGCAGGGATCAGGGGAGCAGCGGGGTTAAGTTCCAAACCAAAGCCGGGCTTGTCCAAGATAGAGACGTCAAGGTAGCCCTTGGTAGGAATGGGCTCGTTCAAGAAAAGGTTACCGAACACAGGCTCAACAGTGTGGCCATCGGCAGAATTGGCAAGGTACTCCTGGAAGGGACTGTTGGACTGGGAGACAACAAAGTGGTACGAGTAGGGACCGGATGCGTGGGGCACAACGGGAAGATCATAAGCAGCAGCCATGGCAGAGACCTTGAGCAGCTCGGTCATTCCACCAACCCACATCACATCGGGCTGGAGGATGTCAACGTTGCGGCCCTCAATAAGCTTGCGGAAGCCGTACCGGGAGTACTCGTGCTCGCCGGTAGTGAATGTGACAGTGGGGTGGGCACGCTTGAGGAGCGCGTGGCCGTCAAAGTCATCGGGCGAGAGGCACTCCTCCCACCAGTCAATGTCGAGCCCAATAGCCTCACAGCGCTTGACTAATTGGATTGTGTAGGGGACAGTCAAAGACATGTAGCAGTCCACTCGTAGTGGGAAGTCAGCCCCGACTTTCTCGCGCTGCTGACGCAGGTATTCGACGTTCTTCAGAAGGCCCTCGGTACCCTCATCGGGACCGTGTGGCAAGGCCACCTTGGCGCCGATGAAGCCGGCAGCCTTTGCGGAACCGGGCTGGGGACCAGTGCAGTAGAAGTTCAATCGTGTTCGAGTCGCTCCTCCAATCAACTTGTAGACGGGCTCCTTGCGGATCTTGCCCTGCAGATCCCACAGAGCCAGGTCAATGACTGAGATCACGGCGACGGGTAGACCCTTGCGGCCGTAGAACATCGAGGCGCGGTACATCTTCTCAAAGAGGTCGTTGGTGTCACGGGGGTCTGTTAAAATATAGTTCGTCAGAAAAATCCATTTTTCTATGTATATGAAATGGTGTACATACCCGCGCCAACCAGGAAGCGGTTAAAATGTTGCTGGGTCAGCCAGCATGCAGGCGGACCTCCGAAACCAGTCGCAAAGCCCTTGGTGCCATCAGTGGCCTCAATCTCCACACAGAATGATCCCAAAACATTGATGCCCCATGACGTTCGTGAGCCACGGAATTGTGCCCACTTGGTCATAGGGGTGGAGATATTGCTGTCGACCAGCCAGTGGCCTCCTTTGACCTGTATCGATAGTTAGCATATCAAATTTTGAGACAATTAACATCTCCGAGCTCTTACATTGTGGTAGTCACCGCCGGAGCCAACACCATCAATGATGAAGGTGCGGACTTCCTTAATTCGGGGGAATTCCGTTATTGAACCCATGATGTATGAAATGAACAAGTGTCAAACGAAAAGAAACTCAATAATTGTCAACAAGAGATGATAGAGAAAGAAAATAAAGTAGAAATCCAACAATTGCGGGGGATTCATGTCTATTTCAACGAATTCCACATGCCGAGGGGAGCTCGGTGCATTGCTAACCCGAGACTAACCCGAGAGACGGACAAACGCCGATTCGGAGAATTTATTGCGACAACACATGTTATTTGATTTATTTCAGGCTATATGTGGGGCGGATAGAAATGCTCTTGAAATTCCATAAGAATCTATAGGCTATAGTTTTCAAACTTCAACAGAGGGTCTACCAGGAAACCTCGAAAGGGGGAAGTATGATCTATTTATCGACATCCACGCCGTTGGCCACAGAGCCAAACACGTCCAAAGCATGGCCGAGATATCCCTGAGCTCCTTTGAGTCGAGGGGTCATATCACTCCCTAGAGGGAGAAGCTTCTCGGTTTGACTGTCTTCACCAACTCCCTCGCCAGCAACGACCTGGTACACAGCCTGCATTGCCTTGTCCTTGTCACCGTTGGGCTTGATCTTCCCACTGACCAGAAGACCCTGAACCTGCTCGGTAAAGGTTCCCTTGTAGTCCTCCGGCAGGGGAGTCTTGCCCAGAACCACCGAGTTGGGCATGTTGGTATTGAAGGTTCCGAGAACGACAGTCAGGGTGCGGATGTTGAATGGGGCAACCTCCTTAGCAAGAATCTTGGTAAGCGCTATCAAACTCACCGTTAGCTACCTCTCTTGGCAATAGGCTCATTAGTACATACCGTCCAACCCAGCCTTTGCACCCGCGTACACTCCCATGGTGGGAATGCCATCAAGCGAAGCACCGCTGCTCATGTTGACTATAACGCCGGACTTTCGCTGGCGCATATGTGGCAGAACGGCCTGAATCAGACGCAAGGGACCAAAGTACATGGTCTCCATTTGGGTTCTTACTTCCTCTTCGTCCACAGTCTCGACGGGGGCGTATATGGAATAGCCGGCGTTGTTGACCAGCACGTCAATATGGTCGCCATGGCTTTCGAGCTCGGTGATGATATCGCCGCTGTCACGACTGTCCACATCAAGCTGCACCCATTTGCCCCCCTTGGACTCGATCTCGGCAACCAGCTCGGGGGTGCGTGATGGGTTGCGCGAGGTCGCAATGGCCTTGTGTCCACCAGTCTGGGCGGCGCGGGTCAGAGAAAGGCCAAAGCCAGAGGAGCAGCCAGTGATGAGCCAGGTGAGCTTGGTAGTAGCCATGATGAAGGTATTGATAGTGATAACATACAAGAGCGTCGACAGGTCTGCTTTAAGTATAACGCACCGGAGTTATCTCTGCACTAACACCGCAAACTTGTGATGACCCCGAATGACCCCATTAGTCTACTTGGGGTAGGCGGATTTACTCGGGCTTATGGCAGATATTGGTTGGAAATTTTGAACTGGCTAGCTAGTATGTAGTAAAAGGGTGGGTTTAGGGATGTGTAAATCACAATCTATATTGATAAAACCCCTAAAACTCGCATTTTAGTTATTGGTTTCATAGAACGTGATGGCATGGATAATTCCCCCAGTAAACTATAATGACACGTTGATAATATTGGGCTAGTAGATGTTGCAATTAGCCAGCAGTTTTCAATACTCAATTACACGAAAAGCTTGATATGTATATTGTGGAAGTCCAAGACTCGAAGCCATTTTATGTCTGTGTATTTCCGGTACAGTTAACGAATAGGATTCAAGGCAAAAGTACCCAACATTCATGCATATACAAAGTTTACGGTTTCTTTTAAGCAATGATGATTCTATGGCATATCAGAGATTATATTAGACATAGTAAGCCTTGCAACTCTCCTATAGACTAGTAGTGACGATGGGGTTCTGTTGAACCGTTTGCGCACCCCTATTTTAGAGTATAAGCTATTTGCTGACATATTGCAAATAATGCATAATTTCACTTATTGACTTCTGATTAAATATCAAAGAAATAGAAGAAATAGAAATAGAAGATATCGAAGCATCGGGAGATTCCAAAAGCGGAGAGAATGCGGGGGACCCCGGTTTCTGCCTGAGGCCTTAGCTCCACGAGTCCGACCATTTCTGTTTCTGCTTTCTCTTTTTCCCTCGGGTTCAATACTGACTATCGTGGAGAACATTCCAAGGCTCCCTCTGTCTGAAAACAATATACCAGACTATCCCAGCCTATTTGGACATCCCACCGTGAAGCAGTTTTACACCATGCTCGGTCCCTGATAGGGCGAATTGCTATCTCGCTAAATCAAAATGCCGAACACTGCGCTTCTCGCCCAGGAGTCCCCGTCCTCCAATCAGCAATTCGGCGATTTAAACCGAGATCAGAGTGCAGAGTATTCCTCCGATTCTGATAACGATCATGTTGGACTCAATGGCTCCACAAGAGCCTTGAAGCGAAAACGCCCCCTCACTGTCTCGTGCGTACCTGAATCACCTCGGCTTACCGTTTGTATGAAATGTAACCGGAACTAATTCTACCAAGATGTGAACTATGCAAGCAGAGAAAGGTTAAATGTGGTATGCTGTAAAAAAAAACCCTAGGGAGACACTCCGTTTCTAATATTGACCAACCCAGACCGAGTACAACCGAGCTGTGGCTGGTGTACCCGAAATGGCCAACTATGTGAATATAGAGAACGAAAGAAGCCTGGGCTGAGAGCTGGCTATGGAAAGGAGTTAGAACAAAGACTTGGTACGTTGCTATACAGTCTGCTCGTCGTCTATTTCATGTCTCACTCGTGCCCCAGATCGATTGGAAGACATTATCCAATCGCAAGCTCGGCTTATCGAGATGCATATGTTGCAAAGCCAGTCTTCGGTGGGTCACGGGTTACCTCAAACCGGGCCTCTTTCATATAGCTCTCCATCCGAGCCGTCAGCAGTCCACGGGCCTAGTCCTAGTACGGCCCTGTACTTCAACGATCCTGGGTCTGCTGTTACTCTACCCTCACGCCGCGCGGATGTGTCTACCAACAGTCCATCAGACGGCTCTGTGAGGAATGCGTCACATAATCATCTACAACATGACATGTCAACGGTGTCAGCTGGTGGCCAGTTGTTACATACCCAAAACGCACATCACGATTACACAGGAAACGAATCCTCTTTGAAGGTTCCCGTCAACATATACTCAAACCAAGAGCAATCTCTTGCTAATCCTGATCTAGATCTGCCACCATATGATTTGCTCTATGCTTTGGTAGATCTCTATTTCGAACATATCAATTCCTGGTGCCCAATCCTCCACCGGCGAACAACCCTGGATACCTTTTTTGGTCCAACGCCACTAGACGAGGCAGACCGAATGGTGTTGTATGCAATTGTGGCAACAACTCTGCGTTTTTCCTCCGACAACAGGCTTAATGACCAGAACAGAAAGCGCTATCACGACTCGTCCAAACAAAAGGTCGTCCTGTATGGCCTAGAAAATTCTTCCGTCAAGGCACTTCAGGCACTTGTGATTTTAGCTCTTGATCTGGTTGGATCGTCCAATGGTCCACCGGGTTGGAAGCTCCTTGCCCTGATTACCCGATCTGTAGTTCAGCTAGGGTTAGCCGTGGAATCAAAGTCTTCTCTTATCAACCCCCTCTACCCCTCAATCTATACTCTGAGGGCTGTCACTCTTTCGGAGCCAGACTCTTGGATTGAGGATGAGAGTAGACGTCGTTTGTTCTGGATGGTCTACCTGCTGGATCGATATTCCACCCTGGCGACTGCGTTCAACTTCGCCTTGGACGACAGAGATATCGACCGCAAACTTCCTTGCAAGGATGATTATTTTATGAAGAATCAGCCCGTTGAGACGCGGTGGTTCCAGTGTTCCAGCGACCGCGCGGATTATCTCACAAAAGCCGAGAATGTTGGGTCTTTCGGTCTCTATATTGAAATCTTGGGTATTCTCTCGCGGATTCACCTGTTCTTGAAGCGGCCCGTGGATATCGGAGCACTCTCCGATGTCGCGGAATGGCAGGCTACCTATCGCAAACTCGACAGCGAGCTTACATCCTGGGAGTTCAATCTCCCGGCGGAATATGCCTATGAGAACTCGTCCCGCCTCTTCAGTGGGCCCAAGAATGGCCGGGCTCTGCACAGTGACTGGGTGCAATTACATGCAACCTACCAAACGTGAGTAGGCCACATCTTCATCTTTATGTTCCTAGCGATTAACGCGCCAATTACTCTAGAGCTGTGATTCGTCTGCACTCCTCAGCGGCATACCCGACAACCCGATCTCCAATCTTCACGCCCTCATACAGCGCCAGCCAGCGATGCCTACTAGCTGTCGAAAACATTCTATCAGTAACAAGGTTCGTTGTAGAGCACACCATGCTAGACAAGATGGGCCCACCATTCGCCTTCACTCTCTGGGTCTCGGCACGCTTACTCCTCGTCCACGGCTCAACCATTGCACATACCGTCAGCCCCGATATCATCTTTTTCGTGGATACTCTATTCCAGTTAGGAAAATATTGGAAAGTTGCCGAGCGATACAGCAGCATCCTTCAACGCGTCCTGGACGAGTACAACGAGTATCAGCAATCCATCGCCATGGATGGCGAACGATCCACGCCATCAACAGTCAAGATTCTCGCCGATATGCGTCGCTGTGCGTTTGATCTTGATTTTTTGATCTCGCGTCAACCACGTGAATCACCTGCCGACAATGGCATTGGTGAGAGCCACCAGCCCCAGCCGCCCCTCTCGACAATGCCCACCCGCAGCTTCGCCCCCAACGAACTCGAGTACCTCGATGTTTTTGGTTTCTTCAATGTTCCCCGTGTTCCTCCCACTCGGGCTCCTGACTTGTCTACTTCTACTCCGTCTCATTTGGAAATACCAGAGTCTATGCCAAATCCGATGTCGATCCATGGCTTGACGGATGCTGGCCCCGTGCCTCCAACTGGGCCGGTAGATGATGGTGGTCATCACTCCAATGCGAATGAATTCAACATCACAAACTACTTGATTCCGACGCCGGAGACTGATTGGCTGTTTCGACCGTCCTAGTGGCACTTCCTCCTTCTCGTTTGCGCCCTTTTAGTCGCTTCTTGCTTAAATACCGACGAAATCGTTCATCTCCGGCGAACACCGAAGTCATGTGAAGACCGATCGCAGTCCGTACGCTTCACACGGTATTGGTTCAGCTGAACGACCCTGGCATACAGATAATTCTGTAAACTCAACAAAGAAGGCTTATCACCGTCTTGGAATGTGCGCTCACTATTGAGTGCACCTCGGATCCTTTTCTCTCTTCGGGCATTGAGATTGGCTTGGATTTTACAGAGCACGCAATGAGGGGGTATGGAATTAACGGCTAGTAGCGGATACTAGGATGTAAATCCACGCCGCTTTTCACTGTCATGGGACTTTCCTTGCCCCACGGCCCTCTGTGGGTGAACTTTGCATCCTCATCTTCACAGCTCCCTTCTTGGTAAAGTCGACTCAATTTGAGGGTTTTATGCCTGTGCTAATTTGTGTAGGAAATCTGCTGATCAGTCAGTGAAACTCAACACAAATCGGTTACCGATTTACGCCCTTCCACCAGTTTCACATTCTCCGTCAAGTTCATTGATTCCTTCCGCCTACAGTTCGATTCAAACACCAAATGTCTGTGGAAAATCAAGAAAAAAAATATTGTCTCGCTTTCAGAGACTTATATCCATCCACTCACTCGCAGGGGCACAGATATGGGAGGAATGGACCAAAGTGAGAACTAAATCATATAGACATTCATCGCCTGGAAATGTCTGAGAAGGAAGCCGGTGTGCTTCCCAGCAAGTTTCAGGGGGAATTCCGCCCTGGTATAGATCACTTATGGATGCTCAGGTCTTGAACTTATAAGCGGATGCATTGTTTCTCATGTAAGCGGACAAGAAGACCATTGTGATATGCAAGTTTGACGTTCCGTCCTAACTGCACCCGGGCTGTGTAGAAAAATTCATAACTTCGTTTATTTTCCCCTCGCCAAGTATTTAGGTAAATGAGCTAAAGCTTGTATGCTCATTTCCTCTGTTCTCTTTTTTAGCCATGTCCGATATTATAAAAGAAAAAAGAGGAGGAGGTGGTGATTTCCAGCGGTACATCGGCCAAATGGCCATCTAACTGCGAACTATGGTTCCAAGGGGAATCAAACCTAGGCCTATGCTTCATTAAGATGACAAACTTGCAAGTTTGACATTGCTCTTAAACTACTACACTATGATTATTGCTAGGAATAACCTTAACATAAATCCCCTTTCACGTGACCACTGACCCACTTAAATTACCCACTTAAAACAACCTTACTTGAAAGAGACTTTAGTGCAACCTTGGAACACACCATAGTGTCCATGGGTACATCCATACCTAGTTACATTCTTTATGCACCAACTAGAACATCTGCCTCTAGCACATCCATCTAATTTCTCTGTCTTGTCTCTCCACATAACCCACCATACGGCCTTCAATCTTGCCCATTGAAATAGGAGTGGCATAAGCGGGCTCTGGGTCTGGGCAATTCACAACTCGAAGACTAGAGGAGGTACCTATCACTTATTCTCATTTTACATATGTGGCTTTCTTTCTTTCTCGTTGGTTTGAGTTGAGGATAACATTTTATTTTAGTTGGACTTAAGGAATCTCAATGAGTTTGAATAGGTTAAGTAGACAAGCTTGTGAGCCCAAACAAAAATGACACAGACTACGATGCCTAGAACGAAGAAAGAAATACATAGTATGTAGAAGATGTCCTCGATGAAGACTGTTTCGAAGATGAAGACAAGGTGTTCCTGTCGTCTTCGACACACAAGAAACCGACGATCAAAGTATGGGAGTTGTTCAAGGGTGAAGTCGTGAACAATGATCAGCTCAGTTATGATATGGCGAAGACAAAGAGTAAAAATACCGGGAAGTGTCAGTTTTATAAGCTCTCAAGAGACAACCGAGGTACCTCTTTAGAATGTCTTTTCATGGTTGTAAAGTGGAGATTCTTTCTAAATCTCACTATGGCATCATTTTATCATCTTATCTGAATAAAGCATGCAGTTTGAAATGCCTAGTGTGAGAAATTAGCCAAAAAGAAGAGAAGACCAGATAATATGAGTATCGGCAGTTGATCCTCTAATACGGGCCCTAATCAGTGAGCTCCATTTGCTGGGAGCTTAGGCGAGATCATAATAATCATTCACTAGTACTACAGATGAGAGTGAGAACTGAGGACAGAGGCGGGAGTTTCATTGGAAGCGTTAACTCCCACACATAACATACATGAAAGTAGAGGAAGGAGACCAAGGCCTCAAGAAACAAAGAAGGCAAGGAGTGAAACAACGCGAAGTACAGGCCTAACTCCATTGAGAACACTCATTTCTACTCAAACAAAAGCTCAACGCGTCCATTACGCGTTGTTACGGGGCTGCAATCGGAAGAGGACCTCCTCGAGGAACGCGTCGAGAACAGCATCAACACCACCTCCCATATCAACAGGACTCTCCATATCCCAGTGGTGGAGGCTGTTGAAAGCTCGAGCGATGTCTTCAGCAACCTTCTCCAGACCATGGTGGATGCGGACGCTGCGGTCGAAGTCCTTTTCTTCTTCTGGGGTAGCCGGGGGGTCGTTAGGGTTGCGTCCGGGTTCGAGACGGACGAGATGGTTGCGGCGGCGGTCCATGGCTGCACGGAGGGCCGGGAGAATCACAGTTCCACATGCGGTTGCGCGCTCAGGCTCAGGGAGAGGTCGGGCGGGACGCTTGTGGTCGCTGGAAGTGGGGGTGGGAGGGGTGGAGCGGTGGGGGATACCACGGTCATCCATGTTTGCTGGTGCGCGCTTGGACTTGAGTCCAGAAACAGGCTTTGCGTGTTGCAGTGGGTCTGTAAGCCTTGGGAGAGCGATCTGAGGGATGCGCGGAGATTGTGGCTGATTTCCCAGAGGATCAGCGGCAGTACGAGAAGGTGGAGCTGGCTTTTGCACAATTTGACCGGATGGGGTGCGGTACTGGTGGTGGAGGGGAATGCTGGAGAGTTGTTTGACAGGGGTGCCCTGGTTACTGACCGCGGAGCTAGGTTTGGCTGAAGAAGCAGTATCAATTTTTCCAGCGTAGTGAGGCGCTGCTTGTGCGTATTGTTCGTCCAATCCTCTCGGGGGAGGGCTGTCTACTGCAGGTTTGCTAACCACCGGAGACACAACTTTGCGTGAAGGAAATGCGGTCTGGGAGGGGCGTTGCTTGAGAGGGGAAGACGGAGCAGAGGGAGGAAGAGGGGTTTTGGTGGGAGAAGCATTAAAAGCAGGGTTTGCTGGGGTTACTTGAGCGTGCGACGGGGGTTGGGGTGCTCCGGCTTGTCGGGGTGCCGCATCACACAAATCCCACTCCTCTGTCTCATTTGTTCGCGCGTTGGTGTCAGAGCCTTTCATAGGGCGCAATGGGGGGGCAGCTGATTTTCCCACAGGACGAACGGTCCCGAAATCCCAAAGGTCTTCTTTTTCCTGGGTTCTGGCATTTGCTGTTTGATCGGCTTCCCTATCGTCATAATCATCATATTCGTCCTCGTCGTCTTGACCCCGATGAGTTATTTGCCAACGCTCTGCGCGCTCAATGAGTTCTGTTAGGTAGGTTGTTCTTTTGGCACGCTTCACGAACGGATGCTCAAGGAGCTCCTTGGCTGATGGCCGCTCCTTAGGGTCTCGGCGCAAGCACAATTCAACAAACTGCTTGAAAGGCTTACTAAAATCGCCTACCAAGGTGGGGGGCGGGTTCTTGGGAATCAAGAACAGCACCTTCATTGGGTGAATGTCGGCATACGGAGGATCACCACAGGCCAGTTCAATTGCCGTAATACCCAAGGACCAAATATCGGCCTTGTAATCGTATCCAGATTGCTTGATGACTTCGGGAGCCATCCAGAACGGAGTGCCTACGAAGGTATTCTTCTTGGTCATTGTTGCCGACAGTTGTCCCGACACGCCAAAGTCCGCCAACTTAACTTGACCACTCGCGCTGAGAAGAATGTTGGCAGCTGCAATCAAAATTGTTAGTCTGTGCGCATCGCCGTTCCAACCAATTGAGGTCTTCGTACCTTTGATGTCTCGGTGCAGCTTCTGGTCACTGTGGAGATAGTCCAGCCCGCGCAGAAGCTCCCTCAGAATAATGGCAATGTACTCCTCGTGGATCACCCCAGGTCGCAAGATACCGTGGCAACTACCACCAGCGCAGAACTCCATGATGATCCACAGGTTGGACCCCTTCAGGTATGAGCCATGATACTTGGTAACATAGGGAGACTTCAGCTCGGACAAAATCGCAATCTCCTTGATGATATCGTCGACATCGTCCTCAGCATTCTCGACGTCAATGATTTTGATAGCCACTGACTCTCCAGTGCGTCTATCTAGACTAATTGTCCGATTTGGGTCAGCTGTTTGTTGAACCAAGACGTTGATATGGAAGGTCCTCGACTTACCCTTTGAACACCTTACCGAAGCTTCCACCGCCTACGAAATCACGAAATGGTCAGCAACCACATGAAGCCCATAACCCGTCAAAGTCGAAGTATTGAAAAAAAAAACCTACCGATGCAAGTTTGTTTAGTGTAAATAGTTTCCGGGTCGATGGGAGGCGGCATTTTGGCGGTTTATCCAAGTCGGCGGAGGACTAATATGGACATGAAACAAGCTTGGATGTATCGAGGGCTAATGGTGAATTGTCAGATTCACGACCGGCAGTCGCTTATCACAAGGATGGAGTGTGGGGTTGGGCCTGTACGTGACGGTCCTCGGAAGTGGACTCGGGATGGTTTCTAGGAGATGAAATAACGATCCTATCCGATCAATCTGATTCGATTAGATAAGATCTGTGGAATGTCTTCCAGGATTGCAAGATTTCAGGGCCGCAAAAGGAGAGAATGAAGAAAAGAGATGGTGTTATTCGTTAGGGTGCTCACAGTTGATAAGAAGTTCAACCGGTAAACAAAGACAATTGTTCAACCGGAGCAGGCGCGGCGAGGGTGATCGTGGAATTCGAGATCGTTTGTGGCATACTCTTCACGTTACGATCAACTCATCTCACTCCCTAGTCTTCTCAGGGATATCCTATGTTGTAAGCTGCCCTTGCTTGTTTATCGACGCGGGGGGCTTATTTTGCCGCCGCTTATCTTGGGGCGGTGTATCTATGGCTTTCCATTAACAAGACTATAGTTATACAATGATCTGAGACTTGGGTTTCAGATTTAAGAAGGTTTAAATGGACTAGATATCAAGAGTTGCAATGTAAATCCATATATGTTTCTTTACTCCAAGTAGGCTCACCATTCTAACTACAAATTCTGCCTTTGTTAGACGGGAATAATACGAATGGGAACATATTGGGGCTTAAACTTCTAGTATAATTATTGATTAATGAAGGAGAGATTGTGTTGTGTAAATAGAACCGTGGAAGTAAACTTGTAAATTTCCAAGGTTGCTACGTTCTGGGGTTATATAGTTCGAAGAGGATGTCGCTATATTGGTGAATAGAGTCTACGACATAGAACACACTATAGAACACACTATAACTTTAATTATATAGTTGGATAGTTTGATCGAAAGACATACCTATGTAGGTAGAACCATAATAACGATAGAGATACACTAAACTAGGGCACGAAAAGCACCCGTGACACAATACAAAGAGCTATGTGCCTATGTATGTATCCTTATTGGGAACATCAAACCAACTAGTTAGGGCCCTATCTTATAATACTACCATCTCACATTCTCTCATATTTCATTTAGGCAGCTTTGGATATTTGGGAGCTTATACTATGTTTCTGGTTGATCAAGCTCATCCTTTAAATATTCCTTTATCCTTAAGCCAATCTGTAGAATAGCTCTCTACGTATGTAATTTGATCAGTTTTCCTCCATACTCATGACTACCTTTTTTCTCTATTTTGATTATCATGATTCATTGCATGCTTCCAAGCAAGCTTTGGTACTATGTATACTCTCACATCTAGATCTCAAGGTTGGCAATGGCAACTAGAGAGCCTGCTAGACTGAATGATATTCCCGGGAATGACGAAAACCAGCTTGGGAATAAAGGTGAGATCCCACGGGATCCAATTCATTTCCATCAACGCCTCGCAGAAATTCAGAAACATTGTAGCGTGATGATAAGACTGAAATATGGAAAAAGTTAAAAGGAATTACTCTTCCAGATATCCAATCATCACTGTGCCATTCTTCAGTCCTGCATCTTCAATGCTCGTGGTAAGTTGATCAATGAGATTGCGCCCCATGCTATTCAGGTCAAACTCGACACCAGCCTTATCTTCCAAGGGAGGATCGGCCTTGAGCCATTCATAGATTCTCTGAACAGGATCCGACAGTGAGAAGCGCCGAATGACCCTGCCAGACGGGTGTCGGAACTGAATGCGAGTAGTTGTGGCCGGGTCCGCAGCAGGTTCAGTGTGTGGTTGGTCACTGGGAATAGATACGAATGGGGAAGCTTCGGCAGCTGGCTCCGGTTCATCCATGACGACATCTTCCTCGTCGGTAGCCCGGCCCTTACCCTTAACACTGTCTGTACTGCGCGTCAACTCATCAGGGTCTTCGACCGTCTGACCAGCTTCCGCCGCGGCCCCAAGACTGTTCCTCATTGCCATCTCCATCATCTCCTCTTCGGTCATGGCATCAATGCTCTTGTCTTTCTTGTCGGATTTGCGCTTAGCGACAGGGTTGCGCACATTGCGGTTCAAGCTGTAGCGATCGAGGAATTCGTGAAGTTGCATAAGAAAGTCGGCGGCCTTGACCAAAGGCGGTCCAGACCAGACCTTCATTTGTTCACCAGTCCGAGGGTCAACAATAGCAATGTGGGGATAATTGTCGGGGACGTCGCTTCCCTGGAAGTAGTATTGGAGGTAGGAAGATGCACGGGGGTCATCTTTCGAGTACTGCAGGAAAATGAAATGCTCCTTGATGGTATCTTGCACTCCAGGGTCCTTCCACAAATCGCGGTTCAGGACCTGACAGTCAAAGACCGATGCATCCTGGACATTGACAAGCAGCCATTTCTCAGTGTCCTTCCCCTCCTCGCGCGCAACATCCCATGACAGTCGTGACATGATTTCGAAGGGAGGTCGGTACATTTCGGCGAGCATATTGGATTTAGACGATGCTTCCGATGCGCCCCCAGTAGCGGCAGAGAGTGCTTCGCGACGAGCGTCATCGTCGCCCGTCCATATCGAAGATGACTCTTGCTGGTTGAAGATTCCGGCTCGAGCTAGAGTAAAATGTCAGTTCAAGTTATTGGAAATTTTGGAAACACAAATAGCACCCACCTGGTCTTCCACGAGCTCGTAGTTGGCTGAGAATATTGGCGTGCATGTCTTCACTACTGTCATAGTCCGCCTCGGGCCCCACCAAAGTCTCTGTTGTCCGCGCCATCGGCGCTCTCACTTCTTCTTCATTATCTAGACCACCTGGGCCACCCGGGCCACCATACATTTGCTCCTGAAGGTGTCGAGCCATAGCCTCGTCGTCATCGAATGTTGGCAGGGCGGTGTGTCGGGGAGTATCGTCATCAGTGTCCGAGTCAATATTCACCACCTCGGAATCATCTGGGATCCCAGCCCGATGAGAAGGCCGAGAAGGTTCACCAGTCAAGGGTGCGCCTCCACTTTCAAAGTAAAGCTGCATGGCCTGCTCGATTTGGAACTCGGTGATCTGCAGGTACTGTATGGCCAGCTCCGGCGTGGAGCCGGTAATTTCAGTGAACTGAGCTACCACGTCGTTATCCATGGTGGGCCGTGTGTCGAAGGAGGTTCCTTGAGAAAGACTTTAATGTTAGAGAAAAAGATTGAAAAGGATTGACTTTGGATACCCACTGAAAGCTTAGGCGTAGTATGAAATGGGGTAAAGACTCGGAAGGTGTCTATGTGGGGAGCTAGATTTAATGCAAACCACTACAAACCAGAAGATCAACGGGTCCCACAAAAGAGGTTGACAGGAATGAAGGGGGAAAAATTAGAGAAAGAAAAAGAACGTCCAGCTTCACGTAGGCTGAAAGAGTTTCGTCATCTCGATTCGAAACGCACATGAGACGATCATCGACACCTGAGGTGGCCACCTGAACAGTGACGCGGCTGACTAAGACTTGAAAAAGGTTGCACGTGTGGTCGATATACTCGGCCGTAATTCGACGCGCGACGCGTCCAGCGCGTGGAAAGGCCCCAGGTAGTGGAGCTGCCAATTACACTTCCTAACTGGGCTCTGGGCCTTCCTTCCTGACATTCCTCTTTTTTAACTCCTAAGGAAACTGCGTCCGTTGTTCCTACCTTGTATTCTTTTTTTTTTGTGTTGTGTTCCAAGTCATGGCAGGAACAGTCCTAGGAAAGCGCACTCGTGGTGATGTGGACTCAGGTAAGATCATCCATCCCACCTTCCCCTGCTCCTTATCTTCAAGTTCTCACCCGCTTTCTTTAGCATTGCCGGTCCGAACCGCGAGCAAGCGCCGAACAGTTGCTCCCCGGGTTCACACCGTTCCAACCCCTTTACGACGAACAAGGTCAACTGTAAAGAAAACAGTCGAGCAATCCGACCAAGAAAATGGCGAGAGCAAGCCAGTGTCGGAGAATGTTGCTTCGAAACATACCTTGCGCGATGACCAGTTCAAATCTCCGGTTAAGATCAATTCACATTTCACCGTCTCAAAACCAGTGGAAGGTAAGTTGGAAATTTTGGGTTGTGGCGCTTGAGGCAGCGCTAATCGGATGTGCAGAAGAAATTACGAAACCTATCGAGTTTGAATTTAAGACACCTTCCAAATCGCGATTCCGGGATGATCTACCGCAATCTCCTATCACCCCTAGACATCGAGTGCAGGTCGGCGCAAAGGCTGTAACACCGCGCACCCCTCGCCATGCCGACCTTCCCCCGACCCCCAGACAGAGTGCCACTCCGAAAATTGCGAACTCGGTGTATTCGCAAGCTAGACAATTGTTCGCACGAGGCTCCAACTCGGGACGCTTAGTGGGACGCGATGCAGAGCGGGAAAAGTTAGTATCTTTTATCACAGAAGGAGTGGAGTCTCGGAAAGGAGGGTGTCTCTATATCAGCGGTCCCCCGGGAACCGGAAAGAGTGCCATGGTCCAGGAAGTGTGTGGAGATCTCGACCTTTCTAATGTCAAAGTCTCGCATGTGAACTGCGCAAGCATGCGAATCTCTCGCGATGTCTACAGCAGACTCATTCAAGATTTCTGCGAGGACTCGGATATGTTCAAGAAGAGCGAGGGAGAGCGCCTCAAATCTACGTTCATTCCATCTAAGAAAGGAAAAGATATGTTCCTAGTCACTTTGGACGAAATTGATCATTTGCTCAATGGTGATTCGGGGGTTTTGCAGTCCCTTTTCGAGTGGTCATTGCAAAACAAGTCCAAGCTGATGCTGATTGGCATCGCTAACGCCCTTGATTTGACCGACCGATCTCTCCCTCAGTTAAAGGCGAAGAACCTGAAGCCCCGCTTGCTGCCGTTCTTGCCGTACAGTGCTGCATCTATCGCAAACGTCATGACCAATCGTCTTCGTTCATTGCTCCCTGCTGGGGCAGAATCTGACCCAAAGCTGGTCCCTTTTGTTCAACCGGCCGC